GCGTCGAACGATTCCGTTTGACACGGACCCATTCCATTGTTGGCGGCTTGGAAGAGGCGCCGTTCATCTGTTGTTGAGGCTGTTTGCCTCTCTTGTTCTTCAGACCCGCGTTGTAGCGGACTCCGTCGGTGGACTCCATCGCTTTGGCGAATTGTTTGGCCAAGCGTTGGCGTTGCCTTTGGCGGGCTCTCTTTGAGAGAGTCACCGCTCCTTTGGTGACGGAGGAATTGGTTGGAACCAGCTTGATCTGGTTGGAGATTGGTGGAGCCTCATCTGACGCAACTTTGGCGTCAATCGAGATGAGGTCGTCGTTGGTAGCTTCAACTTCTTCGTACCAACGCACCTTTCTCCTGGAGGAGAACTTGGACTTCTTAGACTTGCGAGGGGAGGTAGATCCGGACGAGGATGAAAGGTACTCCTCGAACTTTTGTTGGTCGAACTCATACTCGACCTCCTCCTCGACCGGGATCGAGATCCGCGGCTGCGACGCAACGATCTCGGCAGCGAGATCGTTGGCTCCCACTGTGGTCGCCAGATTGTTCGCGGGAAAAACCGTTGCTTTCTTCATTAATGATTCCATTGTACACTCTTGTAACAGTTTATCGATTACAAAGATCCGGTCTTTTTATAAGATCCGGTTACAACGAAAATCAAATTGAAAAGAAATGAAAATTACAACTTTGTTTCCTTGTTTGTCGAACGAATCACGAGCTCCTGTTTTGCGGTCGCTCGCTTTGTGGGTTCTTTGCCTGCGCCGGGGTTGTTTGCCGTGGACCACCGCGCGATCTAGATCCGGTCGGATCTACGCAGTACGACGGGTATTATTCCACGAAGGAAATAATAGCCGGGAGGGATTGATTCACCAAGGAAACAATCGCTCAAGTCTCGGGATCTAAGACCAAGCTTAGATCCGGAGTTCGTACGCGTAGATCTGAGATCTGGTCCTCTCGAATACCTGCCTTATTTGGCGTTGACGGTCGCCGAGCACCAGATCTGGATGAGCAAGTCCTTGAAGTCCTAAAGCTTGAATCTTGTTTGGATCTGAGTCTCTAATCCAGCAGGGCTTCGCCTCTCCAAAATTTCCAACCCCCAAAAATGAACCAAGGCCTAGCCTATTTATAGGCACTCAGATCTGTGCCTAGGCACAGATCTGGGCCGGCCACCGAGCCACCCCAAGGTGGCTCGGCCTTAAGGTGGCTCGGCTTGGGCCGAGCCACCTGAAGTTGGCTCGGCTTCGGCCGAGCCCCTCTAGGTGGTGGTTTTTTCGGTGTTTTCCGCCTTTGGTTCTGTCCGTGATTTGATTAACTTGGTCTCTGATTTGATGATCTGATTTGGCAGTAAATTGGATTCCTGATTTGGCAGTAAATCCGCTTCTGAGTTAGAGTCCGAAATCGATCTTGATTCGATTGTCATTCGTCCGAGTATGCCTTTGGTTGGATGACTCGTTGACTCTTCGAACCCTTGGCTTGATCCCGCACGTGTATGGATGCATTCCGTCGCTTGATGCGATTCGTCGATCTCGTCGCCTCGTTGGTTCGTCGGTTTGTGCCGAGCTGAGCTAAAGGACCTATAAGCAATTTTATATGCCTACAATTAGTGATTTAAATTTCTGTTGTATTTATAAAGAGCCTTAATGGAGATGCTTTTGTCTTGGCAGCTTACTCTGAAAGGGTGCTGCATATTAGCTTTAGAATATAATATTTTTTACGGTGTTATATGGATGTTTGCTTGGTTTATTTAGTATTCTCTTATTTCTTCAGTAAGTTATATCTTTGGGTTGATATATATTATTTACGCAATTTACAATGACATGCATATGTCCTCTATAAATTTGAAATAGATATAAGGTGAATTTTATATTTAGTGGACTTTAATAAGAATTTTAGTAATGATATATATTACCTCCATATTTAGAGATCTTGAAATCTAATAGTGCTATTACATTATTATCTTTGAACGTGTCTTTAAGAATTGATCATTCATTAGTAGTCATACCCCTAAATAAAGTCACACACAGGGTCGTGATACTATATAAGAAAAAGAAAAAGGGTAATTTTATATTTTTTTTTGCTTACGCAGAGTCATGACATAGTAATTTTTCTTTTATCTTCCATAAAGAACGTTTCTTTGATTGGAACAAAGTTTTTCAATATATTATTCAGGGAGGATTCAGTCGGTGCTTCTTTGATAAATATAACTTATGTTAGTGTTCATTAAAGTGATTCTTTCGAATTCCATTTGAAATGAAAACTGTTTGATTCTTTTGAAGGATATCTCTAAATTTTCTAATAGTTCTCTATACATAGATCTTTGTAATATTTTACCATATAAATATTATTACCATCTGAGATCAATATTTATAAATTATAATCAATTAATGTTAAGCTATTATATTATAGTTTTTTATTAGTTTTTTGCAAATTAGTCTTCTATCAATTAATGATACTTATGTATTTTTGCTGCTCTAACATATTGGTAAAATTATATGCAGTTACTTTAATTTATACAATAAAATTAATTTTTAATTTATCATATATTTTTAAAATTTATTCATTGACTGGATATTTTTAATCTGTTATTACTGTTTTTTTACCAACATCAACTTGACTATTTTCAGATCTGAAAAAGGATAGTAAACCTTAAATTATAAGTTACATTTATATCTTAATGAAAAATATAAAACAATTACTCTTTTCTTTGCCAAATTTTAAAATTTAAGCTTTTTATTTTGTGTAATTTTAAACTTTTGAGAGTATTTTGTCTAATTTTTAAAACTTTTCGGTTTTTTTTGTAATACTTCATGTAATAAACTGATACCACGGAGCTGTTTCATATATTTTATTAATCTTATTTAAATTATTGAGCTATAGATAGTTCATGGGGTATTAGGATAGAATATAACTATGATTAGATAGATTATAATTTAAATTAAATATTTAAAATAGTACAGAGTAATTTTGATTATGAAAATTAAGCTTTTCCCGAACTCATGCTTTTAAAAGGGAGTATGGTTTTTATTTTCCTTAATTTTTTTTATAATTTTGAGAATGACTTTTGTCTCTTTAATTTGTTTGGTAGATTTTGTAAATATCTCATCCACACTATGTACATTTGTAAGTCTGCGCTTGGGGCAGACATTATTTGTCTCATAAACTTGTTTGGTTTTTGCATATACGCCCTTCATTTTGTAGATATTTGTGAATTTGGTATTTAATAATTTCATTTAGAGTTACGTTTCAATTTAAACTGTATTCTTATCTTCATACTATGTATATCCAATAAGAATTCATCAATTTATCAACTGTTTCAATTTAAACTGTATTCTTATCTTCATACTATGTATATCCAATAAGAATTCATCAATTTATCAACTTACTCTTACTTAATGCTATGTATATCCAATAAGAATTCATCAATTTATCAACTTACTCTTACTTAATGGATTAATATTTAAATTCCAATAGTATTTTTGTCTACTGAAAGATTTTCCAAAAAAAGGCTTATTTTCATTTAGGTAGTCCTGAGTTACGCATTTATGACACAGATACACTTTTTTTGACACTTTAATACTCAAAGTTTCAATCCCATTGTGCTTTGATACTCTTTGCAAGTATTTTGTTAAAGTGTTCATTTTTCAGGTTAAGCAACCTGAAAACGATGAAATACTGTGATTTGATTTACAACATATAATCAACATAGAAATAAGAAGAAACAAAATTCTCATAAAAATTCAAAATTTTTCAAGTGAGATAAATGAATAACAAAATAAGTTTGTTTTCATGAATATACTTATAGAGCATGTTCCATAAATGGTCAAAGTGGTTTATAAATCACTTTTGTGGGTTATAAGTCACTTTTTGAGATGTTTAGCAATCAGATTATTTTGGCTTATAAATTTATAATCCATCAAAAAATAAGCCACTTTGAGATATTTTGACAACTGAATTAGGTTGGCCAAAGTAAAAGACAATTATACCTTTAATTTCACAAAATCCAAGTTCTTATTTAATAATTCACGATAAACCATAAGTCTTTTTTGATCATTTTGATAACAATAATGGATTATAATTTATCCATTTACCGATCAGTAAACTGTTTAAGTGAATTATAATCCCTTAAATTTACTAAAGACTCCTTACTATAATCCTATAATCCAAATAAATTATAATCTAAAATTTCATTTAAAAGCCTGGACTAGATGAGTGAAAGAAGAGGGAGATTAAGGGGTCGTTAATCTTCAATAGAGGAGTATATAACTGGGCCTAAGCATATCATTTGGGGTTTACCGTTGGGATTGATATACTTAGATTCAAGCTAGTTTGTAAAATGCCCGAGTGGGTGGTAAACCATCGAATCGAATCGAATACTAGGGTGTTCGTATTTGTATTTTTTAAAATTACCGAATTCGAATGCGGACCCTAATATCCATATATCTAGTTTTTCGAATTCGAACTCGAATACTTGGTATTTGATAAATATTCATGAATATTCACGAATACTTATCGAATATCAAAGTATATTTATTATGCTAAAAATTTTTGATTTTCAAATAATATTAAAATTCATAAATACAAATTATTCCTTTTTAACATATGGTGTATATATATTTAAATCAAAATTTTAATTAGAAAATAGATTTAAGATTATTTAAGTCTTAAAATCAGTATATAAAAGTTAAGTAGAAATTGTAAGTGAATTAAAAGTATGACATCATATGTGCAATAATACAAATAATAAGCTGTGATTAAATTTTAAATAAATATTTAATAGACAAACGAATCGAATATACATCTGGTTAAATTCTATTCGTTAGTAAACTCGAATACTAAATAATTATCGAACTATTTGTTAATTATTTGATTCATTTCGACTCCTAGCGTAAGCTCTACGCGGTCCTACTAAGAAGGGTGTATTTGTATAACATCAGCGTACGTTATACGCATATTCCACGTTGACAAATATAACTATTTCGTACCAGTCTCTGTCGCTTATCATTCCGTGGCTCTAAATTCCTCTGTTTCTTCTTCGTCCTTCAGCTGCCCTATATTTCCCAAATTAGAAACCCTAAGATCTCTTCTTCTCCCTTTTCTCGATTTTGCGAAACCCTAAGGAGAATTTGAGCTCTGAGTGATTGCAGATTCTCAATGTTATGAACAATGTGGCTTGCTGGAGTGAGGATAAATTGCGATAATGTATTGAAAAGCCCTAATTAGGGAATTGAGTTCCCGTGAAATTCACGACAACCAACCGGAACTCAAATTTGATTTTAAAGGAAATCGTTTACTTGTGTGTTTCTTGTTGAAAGATTATCACTTTGTGAGAATGGGAATGAGGAGAACCGTTGTCGAGAACTAGGCTCTCTAAGATTTTCCCCCCCTATCTCTAGTGAATTTGAGCTCTAATTGATTACAAAAACGTTATTAGGTAATGAGCATAAACTTCTCAAATGGGGTTAAATTTCGAGCAGAAGGGGATTTGAGTACTTGTGTATGATTCTTGCCAAAAGATATGATTTTTTTTTAATTTTTAATTTTTTTTGTTAGTATATCTCCCTGAAGATTTTTTGCTCACCATGAGTTAAGTAATGATTCTAATTTTCTGATTGCTTTCAGGCATGTTGTTACTTAGCACTTTGGTGTTACGATGAGCCCTCAAAGCTGCCTCTAAATTCAGGTAACAACAAATGTGGCTCGTAAAAGATGATTAAGTGATTCGATACTATATGATGCATTTTAACTCAATAATTTTGTCAAAGCCCTTTTTTTAAGGGCATTTCTAACACTATGCTTGTACAAATGCTGTTACAGGTATAACCTTGTTCATGGGGGTTCCTGAAGAAATCTATGATAGCAATTCAATTGGAGAGGGCCACATTGTAGATTAAAAAAAAAAAAAAGGGTAACAATTTGTTCGGTTGTGTCGTCACTTTAGATATGCATATCTAGAAAGGTCTGCTGTTGGGCGTGTCAAACGCTTATGCACAAGTGGTTGTCTAGACAAAAATTTCTGTTCTCAATAAGGTCGTTTCTCTTAATATGATATTCTGCGTCGTCAAAACCATATAATGTTATTTAATGTTTTCTACTGATAGTGATAAGGGGGATGGTGAGTTCCAGTGCTATCCCCTCTTTTAATAAAGATAATATCACTTGGTTAGTGTAAAATGTATTTATCAATATCAAGAAATAGATATGGCATCGATCTAGTTATTATCATTATTCTTATCCACACCTAGCAGTCAAAGAAGGAAAAAGGTATAGGCATGCAAACTTAGTAGTTCTCATTGTCATCAGTTGAACTTAGTTGTAGATTCCATATATAATTCTTGTGAAGATGCCAGTTATGACACTGATAAATTTGTATGCTTGATTATACATGCATGACAAAACTAGGATATATATTGGGAATGGCTTTATGTCCAAAAAGGATGTCACTGCCTTTCTCTTTCTTTATTTATTTTTAGTCCTCTTTACTATTTCCCTTTCATCAAGGGAACACTGCATTTTTAATTGCAGGTGTTTCCTGGGAATTAACTTAAGAAGGTATACTGAGGATATCACATTCATAAGTGGCAGGGCCAGAAGGTACGCTATGCAAGCTAGTTATTGACTCTCTCATGACAGGCAGCCACTTATAAGGTGATTGAATAATTCCGTATAGACTGCGATTGCTTTGATTCTACTACTGATGAATATTTCAATTTGCATCCTCCATTTGAATATAAATTCTAATAGATTTTGTAGTCTAACTCAGTAAGTGTCTCGCTTAGTCAAATGCATTTACATTATTACAGTTTGCAATAGTTTTTACCGTTTTACACAACAAGCTTCATAGTTGAAAGCACTTTGCTATAACTTTTGGTCGAATTAAAGGAGGGGAGGATTATTTCTTTGATGATAGAACCACATAAATGTATTCTAGATTTCTTTTGTTTTTCTAGACTTCACGTTCTCCTGCTGGTATTAGATGCTTTCCTACTTACCATTTATTCTTTGTACAACACAACTTCATTTCAACAGCCAATGTGCTGTAAATATTCAAGACCTTTGCGTACTATAATCTGGAGCCTGATCATTCCTCCTTGGGTAATTGTCAGATTTTGAAATTAGATCATCTTTCATCTTGGCCTTGTATGTTGTCACATAGCGTAGATTACTACAAATGGCAAATGTCATTCCATATCTCAATAAATGAGGTTCATACTTTATACCAGTGAACATGCACATCAATTCTTTTTGTTCTTCCCTAGTCTATTGAATGGACTTTGCATCATTTGATAAGTGACTGGGTGGACGTGCAGATTCATCTTAGGGCTCACTTTTGATTTCCATCTTTGTGTTTAGTAAATATAACCCATTACACCCTTCTAGTGAGGTGGAGGGTTAGAGAATAACAGAACATACTGAAAATCATGAAACGATGATGTCTATTTCATAACATGTGGTCAACCTCGTCACTTCACTTCACTATTCATCTTTTTAAAGAACTACACCATACTTTAAAAAGTTTTCTGGATATTCTCTACTTCGACAGTGTGGCTAGTCTAGTTGATTGGAGTGGCTAATAAGCTGAAATCAACATATAACTAAAGAAAAAAGGAAATCCCTATCTTATTCTTGGATCCAAATATACTTGACAATGTGATTATCCTTCTGTTTGTTCCTGTTGGGATCAAAGCTATCTTACCACCTACTTGTATACTTGGTTAAATGTGAATAGCTAATTCTGACAAATCTCTGCCTTGGCTCATATCAAAGCAAGTGGTATATGAAGCTTACAAGCCTTAAGCTCTACAAGGCATATTCCAAGCCCACTTTAGACCAGTACTCTTAAAACAACTTGTACAATCCCTTCTTCACTATTACACCAAACATTATTGACTTAATTCCGATCTTTATCAGCACCTTGATAGGCGTTATTCACACACCTCCTCCTTGCTTTGGTGGTTATTAACTCAACCACATCTGCCACACACACAGAACATACAACACATAAATGCTTAGGTTTCATGATTCGATAAAATTGTACCGAAATAATTAAGCAAACCCCAACAATTTGTACTCAGCATCTCTCTCTCTCTCTCTCTCTCTCTCTCTCTCTCTCTCTCTCTCTCTGCATCCTGCAACAGAGCAAAACCAAACTAAGTCCCAAAATAAGGAGAAATATACATATACGTGCACCATTCCCTGTTCGAAATATTATCCTTCATTCTCAAAGCCCTGCTACATTGAAGCAATTCTCTCTCTCTCTCTCTCTCTCTCTCTCTCTCTCTCTCTCTCTCTCTCTCTCTCTCTCTCTACGTGGACATAAGATCTGAGCATCCTGCAACAAAGCAAAACCAAACTAAGTCCCAAAATAAGGAGAAATACACATATGTGCACCATTCCCTGTTCGAAAGAGTATCCTTCATTCTCAAAGCTCTGCTGCATTGACATATTTTTTTTATTTACTCACAATTTTAAGTTTCAAACTCTCAGTATAATGCCTGATAACAACTTGAGCATATTGGTATGCTCTGACGATCATGTGGTACAAAAGAGAGATCGTGCACAAGTTGGTTCCTGGGGAAGTGGTGGAAGATCCCATGTAATGTGTACATTGGTCTTCATACTATAAATCTAGGACGTTGGATTCAGTGCTAACCTTGATTGTGAGGTAAGAGAAGGATTTGATTGCTTGCAATGGTAGGTTAAGGAAGCTCTTTTTGTCTTCTCACAGATCCTGGTTAATGAGTGTGAGGTCTGATACTATGCTCCTTATATTTTGGTTGTTTCATTCAGAGTTGATAATGGAAGGATTTCAGTATTTCGAAAAATGATGATGTCTGAGTTTGGAATAACACTGATTTGCTTATTATCGGTGTCTAGTTGTTTTCTATGTCCGAGAGTTGAGGAGATCATACTGCATCATAGGTGATCCAAAGCATGCTACTAGAAAATCTGTC